CCCCGGTATAAATTCACTCAAGACAGAATGTACTCTTCCAATGGCAACTGGTAGGGACAATACAAATGTCTTCAACTGTACATAAACTGTACATAAAGCTGTTGTTGCCAAAATTGATCTACATGGCATCTACAAACAAAATCTCTCCCTGTCCTCAAGCTTTTATCAAAAGTACGCAGTCATGATGATGAACGCAAACATGTACGTAATTGGTTTAATACTTTTTTAATACAAATTTTCCCATGGTGAACTTTTAATGCAAAATCATAACACATAATGTGTATAGTTTATAGTTCCACTGAACTACAGAATTGTTTCAACTGTAACTGTGTAAACATCAATTTCCCTCTTATTGCACCATAAAAGGAAAATGCACATCCTGAATTTAAGGCTAAAAGTTGCCTTCGCTCCTAAATGTCCGGATCCCCCCATGCAGACCCTCCTGAATGTGTTCACTGATGAGTATCTGCTGCAGTGCATGACAAACCCCAGTAGATGAGGGCAAACTGAAACCCAACTGTCAGAAAAAAAGTAAACTCCTGAAAAGGCCTGCCTGGTTAGCCTGGGTACCATCCTGGTTAGTTTACTCTACTCCCACAGTAGGAGTGGACATAAACTAACCAGGATGGTACCCAGGCTACAGGCTACTGCCTGGTGCTTTGAGCCCTCGTGTAATGGTTTTTCCAATCAAATTTTCCTTGCATGCCACATTGATTGGTCCTACAGACATGGCAGGGAACAAACCAACAACCTCCACCCAAGCCATACAGGCACATACTTGCAGTCCTTCTGTGCTATTTAAAGGTCTGGGCATCTGGTATGCCAGCTTTGATGTTAGCGGGGACACTTGCTTTGAAGACAGAGAGCAGCGCTGCCCTAACTTTCAGCAGCCGGCGTGCTGGGACCCCACCTAGCCTTCTGTAAACTCATCACTGTTTGCACATACGGCAGATGTTTGTGGATACTATCAGACACGGACGCTCAGGTGCCAGGATATCCTGGTCATATATTCATCAAGATAATCAATATTGACCACCTGGAGGCACACCTGGACTGACTGGCTCCTGTGGGCATCTCGGATCTTCTCTACATGCTTTTACTGTAAATTCACTTACTTTAGCAGTGGTCTTATTTCCCTCGCAAGATGGAAAGTGTGTTTCAAATTCGGTGTTGAAACAATTGTGTAGCATAATACACTGGATCACACATTAAGTGTCATGAAGTTACTGTAGAGATGTAACTGCAAAAATAAAACCACCACAAAAGTTTCTAGATTTACAGCAATGGTTAGATATTGAAGAAAATAGATAAAGAAAAGGAGCTGTTGTGTAAGATCACCTTTGATGCTATCTTAGTAACCAGATTTCCCGAAAAATATTAATGGTTTAATCACATACTGTAAGTCATACATGCATGATGCATTGGTTTCATTATGACATCTTTATTAAGTTTCTAAAGATTACACCATGCATTCTGCCATCAAATCAGCAATTATCTTAGTCTTCCTTTGGGGCTCCGTAGGGCCTGTCCTTAATATGTCAAATCAAATAAAGAACACAATCTTTGATTTCCATACCAATCCTCAGGTAAGTAACCTTCAGCAGGTGCAGTAAGAAATTTTTTTTTTGGGGGGGGGGAGGATGACAAAAGCAAAAGTTTAGGAAGTCAGGCAGCATTTTTCCCTGCTCTTTACCCCTTGTTGTGTATACATCGGGGTGGCAAAGTGCACTCTATCAACGCCAGGGTCGTGACAAGTCCCCCTCCTTCCATGAACAGTATTAGCTTATGAACTGTGAACAACAACACTGCCGCTTTTCATCCCCAGCCACACAGAGCTGTGTGTACACACCGCATAGTTGCGCCCCATTCGTGTGGTAGATTGGAAACAGGAGGCTTTGCCGCGCCTCGTCTGACCCTTCCCATGCCCGTAGCCAGGATTTTGAATAGGGGGGTTCGTCCCACTGCTTGAGTGGACCTCGAGCGCCGTAGGCGCGAGGCGAGCGCCGAAGGGGCGAGGTTCCTAGGGGGGTCCGGGGGCATGCTCCCCGGAAATTTTGAAAAATGAACCTTCTAAAATGGCATTTCGTGCATTTTTGAGAGGATTTCCAAGAGAAAATCAGAGATAAATTTTTATTCAATGACGAAGAGAGCAGTTTTTCTACGATTCCAGTCCATCTTTTCAAGAAAAAACTTGGACCTTTACATAAAATGTGGACCAAAAAGTGGACCTTTACATAAAATGTGGACCAAAAAGTGGACCTTTACATAAAAAGTGGACCAAAAAGTGGACCTTTGAGCCTTGTGGGGGGGTTCTTCCGAACCCCCGAACCCCCCCTGGCTACGGGCATGCTTCCCATTCACACTCCCGCCTTTGGTGGTTTGCGGATGCAGAACATGTAAGTTTTACAGGGCCATTAGCGTGCCCAGAACACAACTGGTACGATCATTACACCTGAGCGGAGGTGTGTGAGGGGTCAGCAGGTCTGACACAGATACCTCCACACTCTGTCCTGATGTTTACCCCCGACAGATCCCAGCCTGTAGATGGACCCTACTGGAGTAAACACAGCTTCTAAGCCCCTTGAAATCCGGGGAATATGTTAGCTACTCTACTCTTCCTCTGGGATAGAGCTCTTCATGGGTCAGCTGTAGGTGGAAAACACTCAAGCAGACTGGAGAGGAGGCAGTGGGCAACATTCTTGCAACTTACTGTAAATCTGGAAACATCTGGATAGATTCTATTTTCACAGTGCCCTCTCTACCATAAAGTCACTGAATACAACACTGTGAATATACCTTCTTTGTATGAATACTGGAGACCTCCAAGTTTACAATGAAAATCTGCATATAGTGAAATAAATCCACCATGAAAGTAAATTGTAAAGTAAATAGTTAAAGCTCCTACCTCTATCTCTCAGGAGGTCTGTCACAAATATGGCCTGGGTCTGTCCGAAGTGGGATCTTTAATATCATAGTGACAGTTTTGTGTACCTTTAGTAAAAACCAGATGTTCTCATAAAGGCAGTAAGACTGCCTTTTATTGGGTCAAGGTAAAAATGATTACAGCAAACTGTACACTGCTCCTCAGCTTCCTGAAATCCCCCATACGTCGACCCCTAAGTAGTTTTTACTGGATCCCGGCCGGATGCTGGAGCCTTCAAGTTTACCCCATTTCCAGTGTCTGATGACCATTAACCTCATGTCATTCTGCCTGTCAATCTTTATCTGACTCATGTGCTGTCAACCTACTCTGTCCAGTCAAAAATACACACAAACCCACAGACAACTAACCCAAAATAAGTTTGAACAAGAGAAGAGAAGAAAGACAAGAAAACTATTCTACCTGTCTGAGTTTTGACATGGCGTCTGAGGAGATGAATTCGTTCTTGGTGAACTTTGTGATTTGGCAGATGACTTGGTACTGGCTCTGTCCTCTCTCCATCTCCCCCAGAATCAGTGCCTTGAAGATCTGCACTTCCTGTGGACACAAATTATACATCAGTCAATACTTCCATTTTACTGTTGGTAGGGTGCCACCAAAATCATTTAGGTTCAAAATACTGGATCATCAATATTACTGTGGTTCTCTACCTAAGGCCACACCAATTTAATTTGTTGGTTCTCGGATTCGCCTCTTCGTTTTTTCTGATTTGCAAAA